GTGGTCCTCTATATATTTTCAAAAAGGTGTTTTGACAAATTATTTTTTGACATCTCACCTCATTGTGACACCTATAATTGAAAATTAGTTTAGCATACATGTACCATAATCATTGTACAATACAATTTGGCTTCCATACATACCATTTCTACTGTGCTTATACAACCTATACCACAAGTACCTTCCTTCCAATAACTAACTATAGAAATACATTAATAGTACACAATTCCTGGAATTGCCAGGCTTGTTTAGATAATGAGTCTTGGGGTGAACTTTGTATGGTCTGTAAATTCAATGTACAGTTGCACTATACCATTAACTTGTACAGCAAAAATGAAACAGAAATTATCATGAAAGATGTTTACTCTAAATCAACGAGACATTGTTTATTGCTCTATTTTAATGACCACTAGTAAAATAGTAAATTTAAAAGTTGCTGTGCCAAGATATGTCGTGCTACTATACACTGTTATTTTTGTTATATTATGTATGTCTGCCAAGATATAAATATATTATTAAATTTGTCCATAAGCAGTGTTAGGTGTAGTATCAATGACTTGTTCTTGTTGTTCATTGTTGATAGTTGGTAAATCATATATTGGTCCAATGTCTACTGGTGATCTTTCTCTTAGTGTATTCCCTTTATTCTTCATTATACAGTATACAATGATACTAGTAATTATTGATGCAATGAGTCCAGTTAATAGACCAGTGATAGGTACTGCAATAGCAACTGAATGTGTGTGTATAATAGATACATTAGATATGTACATACATTAATGTATTAACTAACCAGAACTGATGATGGATCCTGTACATGTTAAATTACAGCCTAATAAATGAATAGTTATAATGATACAGTGTATCTTTGGGGAAATTTTTTGATAGTCATTTGTCAAATCCAATCAATAAAACAGTTGCCGAGCAAGTTTGCTCCCTATGGGCTAGACTCATATCCTTATGTTAGTATTTTGGTGAATATCTTGTATTTTTATGATCAGTATTAGCTATTGGCACTTGTGTACTATACTGGGTGCTACTCATAATTGTGCTTAGCATTGATTTACTGATGCACGTGTGATGCTATTATTATGAAAGTAATAAAATTTGAAAATTATCATTTGCCTACTTGTAGCAGTTGAGAGTTGTACACTACTTGTTATTGTTGATGGTGTGTCACTCATTATAGTTGATGTTACATCAATGATTGACAGAAATATTGATGCTGTCATGTTGTTACTACTGGTAATAGCATCAGATAAACTTTCTGTAACTGAAACTACTATATAATAATTATTAGCTATGTATTATTAATGTATACTAACCAGGTACATTAGTTGAAGTAGATTGTTTTGAATTAGACTGTTGTTCTGTTATGTTAACTGTATAAACATGCACTAGATGTTATTGTACACATTAATCATTAATAAACAAACCTATAATGTTAATCAGTGGTCCCTCTCCAATAGCATTAACTGGTTTTATGTATACAGTATATTCATCATTGGGATATAGTCCATTAATAGTTACATTAGTATCAGTTGTATTAATAGTAATATTGTGTACACTAACAATGTAATGTACTGGAGGATAATGTAATGTAACATCCTATTAATAATAATAATAATGATTTATAGTTAATAATATCTTAACATACTTCATTGTTATTCCACCATATTGTAATAGTATCAGTTGATATCTGATCCCAACTAATATTAACAACTTGAGCTGGTACTATAAGAAATACAATGAGTGTGTGTGTGTGTATAGTACTTACCATTCCATATATACTGTATTAATGATGAAGGAGGTCCTTCTCTTCCAATAGTATCAATAGGAATAATAATAAATGAATAATTAGTACCAATAATAAGAGAAGGAATAGTTGCTGATGATTCATTACTGATCATATGTCCATTAATATTATCATCACTGATTATTGTAATATTATAATATTGAATACAGTGTACTTCATCATTCTTTTCATAGTACCAGTTCATCAATACTGTATTGTTATTAATTGGTATTATCTTTATATTAATAACTGATACTGGTACACCTATACATAGATACAGTATTATGATACATATGGTTCATGATGTATCTTACCTGCAATGTGTACTGTTAATGTGTTGAAGTAAATTCCATCTACAGAGCAGTCAATAACTGTTCCATTAAGTTGTGATGGAACAGATTCACTAGTAGCAGTACTTGTTATTGTATTATTAGCATTAGTATCAGTAATAGCTAACATGAAACTGTCAATCTGATCAGTTTTATTTTTATCACTGGCAGAAATAATACGAATATCACCATTGTTAATTCTCCATACAACACCACCTCCACTAGTAATACAAGTGAATACTAGTGTATCTCCAGAACATACAATATCATATGATGGAGAGGACTGGTTGAATGATAGCACTGTACTAGATGATGATGCTAATATAAAATGATTGATGACAAATTGATTAATACAATAAAACCACTTACCATAGACACTGCTTGACAACAGAATAAAGATTATGATAATCATCTTCAATTATCAGCCACACACATGCACACACACTTGTGACCTGTGACACACCCATACATGTAGTTATTCCTTTCTTGCATACTAAAGTTCTATTCATTGCTTCCTGTTTATGAATAATGCAGTATACTGTCAGTCCTGCAGTGAGGCCACTCATCGAGTCAAGAGACATTATTCCAAGAACTCAAAGCACTAACTGGTCCAAGAGTTTGCAGATTAAGAACAGAGTTCCTGGAATAGCTGGTTTAGCAGTTAAAATAATGACCACAGACTGATGATTATATAGTGCAGACTCATTGTTACAATAATAGACTGATATCAAAGAATAAAAACAGTTTAGTAGTAATGAACACAGACTCACACATAGCTACTACACAATGAGTTTAAAAATAATCAAGAATACATTATTATGAAGAAGTTCATGTTGGAGCAAATGTAAACTGGAACCAAAGAGAAATTTCAAACTATAGAAAGAAAGAGACATACATCAAACTGCCATGAGTATATGTACATGTACACTATTGTCAAGAGTATGATATACTTACTGTTATCAATAACCCATCATGTACTCTTGCTGATATATTATTTGCGTATGTTACTGGTTGAACACTAGTGGGTGACACTGTGGCCTACTGTCCTTAGGGACTATCATCACATCAGCATAAAGCAGGACCTTATTAGCTGATTCCATTTCAATATGCACTGTGTAGTTATAATGTTTTCATAATGACAGTTTCATTATTTTCCAATCGTGAGTCCCAATTTACACATTGTTTTGTACATCAATGCTTTTGAACGCTTTTTTGAGAAAACAATGAAATTATTCCCAAATTAAATTATACAAAGGCACACAATGCTTTAGGCTGCGTTTACACGGCAACGAAAACGATGCAATCCGTTCAGTTTTGTGCCTGTTTTATGCTTCTGTTTACACAGAAACGATTGAAAACGTGATAGAATCTTGATAGGACTCTATGGAAACGAAAACGGTGTTCAAAGTGTATCGTTTTTAAAACGATACGTTTTGCGTTGCTGTGTAAACGCAGCCTTAATCTTTTTATAGTATCATCACTGTGGACTATATTTAAGCTTTAAACTTTTGATTTCCCAAAGTGTTTTCTTATGTATATATTACATATTTTTGCTTACTGGCACTTGATTTTTATTGACTGGAATAAACAGGACATTGTCCATCATCATTAACCTGCATGAATAATATATTTTATTGTTTATTGATTTATCTTGCCAATTGCAAAATAATAAGCTTAAAAGTTGCTGGGCCAAGATACATCATGCTGCTATGCTATTATT